CATATACATATAACATATACATATACATATACATATACACATATATATATATATATACATATACATATACATATACATATACATATTCATATACATATACATATACATATACGTATATAATATATATATATATATATATATATACGTACACTAAGCACGACTATTAATGGCGTACTGCCAGCTCTAGGCCTGCCATTATAGACGTACATATATACAAGTGGCACTTACAATTTTCAGGGCTTCTGTGTAGTTTTTAGGTAGCTTGACCTTCTCCCACAGGTTTTTAGGGGTGTGTGCTCGCTCGATGGTCTTCATATATAGGTAGCATATTCCATTCTCCTCTTTAATTGTCGCATACCGACTGTTGGCTAGTGGGCATGACTGGCGATTGCACTGGCCGGTAACGTTCATGGGATGCCTACAGAACGTCTCTGTCACGAGTCTGAGGAGTACACACGATTGGAGAATGAGTAAGCGTATGATGAATAAGCCCATCAGATAGGCTGCCAGGATGAAGTACTGACAGAATAGAATTAAATTACAACCCAAACCAAGCCCGTACTGGCCACTGCGTCCCAGTTTGTGCAGCATCTTAAGTTTTCGCCTGTAGTAGGGCTTCTACGTCCACGCAAACAAATGTTTCGTCTGCGAAACGTGCGCAGCCATAGCTGCAGCCCAATAGCAAGTGATAGCAAGTAGCCAAGCACCATGCAGGAACGGTGTTGACCATAGAACTCACTTATATATAGATGTATCGGGCTTATAATAGTACATGCATATATCTACGGGCTTATAATAGTACATGCATATTTATATCTACGGGCATAAAATAGTACATGCATATATCTACGGGCTTATAATAGTACATGCATATTGATATCTACGGGCTTATAATAGTACACGCATATATCTACGGACATTAATAGTACATGCATATAACTTCGGGCTTATAATAGTACATGCATATATCTACGGGCATATAATAGTCATATAATAGTACATA